TCTGTGCATGCACAGAAGGCAAAAAACAAGATGACGCCACCTATGGCACTGCCAAGAGAAACAGTTCGGGGGGGGGGGGGGGGGTTGGGGGCAGGCCGGGGGCTGGGGTGGTTACAGCGACCCAAGCCACCAAGCTACTACCGGTTCAGCCAAACCGGTCCGAACCAGTAGGATTGGCTGATGTAAAGGGATACAGACAGTTCTGTAGGAATGGCTGTTAACAACTACAGAGAGAAATGCACACACAGACACGCACAGGTAGTAGAAACGGTAAACTAGATGTCCCCCACTCCACACACATAAATATGCACTGCATTATGGAAGAAAGTTTTCTGGCCCTCTCTGTAAGCCGCCCGGAGTCCTCCGGGATTGGGCGGCCTATAAATAAAATTATACTTGAAACTTGAAACTTAGGGAACATTACCAGTGGTGGGATACGACCAGTACACTCCGGTACGGGCATACTGGTGTCTGCTGGGAACACCAGCTACTGTTCCAGTATGGTGTTCCGGAGGGCCCGCCAACCCACCCACCCTCCTTACCTTTATTTGAGCCGATCGGGACTTATGCGCACAGAGCATACGGTGCCTGTGTGATGCTCCACCAAGCAGCTGGAGCGTCGTGGGCGGTGTAAGTACACATGCACGCACCGTGCATGTGCTGCATGGGTTCTTGTGGTGGACGCCCGGCCCCGTTGCACCATACCGTTTGCAACAGTTATCCAGAACCCACCACCGTACCAAACATTAAAAGTTCCTAATAGTTGCAAAACAAGATGGCTTGTTGGGCACAGAGGCAGCCCATGTGCACCTCTGGAAAGCATTAATGCAAGCCAGACTTGGTGAATTAGCACACCTGCTCTGATGTTTGGATTGCTCTTGATTTATTATAAATCCAGAAGAGATTGATGGTACGTTATGTATGTCTTTGGGTTAAAAAATGATTTTGAAAAATCCCTTGTTACATAGCACATATAAACACCCGATAAAAGAACATCTCAGAAAATCGGGTCTCCTTTTTCTCCTTCTGATCCTCCTCCTGGTTTTGTTTCATGCTGGAGACTCTACAGTAATTTATTTATTTCTTTTCAAATATTAGAAATACTATTTGGATGGCCTAATTTCTTCCAGCCTTTGCCTTATATCAAGACATCCTGGATGTCCCCTGACATACAGCCCAAGATAGCATCTGTCCTTCTTCTTTCATAATACTTTTCTGGGATTTTATTCTGGGAAATAAACATTTTTTTTTTCTGGAAAATCCTTCGCATTTTAACGCCGAGAGTTCCTCGTGGACTGTCTGCTGAGATCAGTGACTGACGGCAATCTGTTTCAGCTATGAAACATCTTCAGAGTACATAGGCCCATACTTGCATATTCATTACAGCCAGAGGTGGGTTCCTACCAGTTCGCACCTATTCGGTAGAACCGGTTCCTCAAATCTACCGAACCGGTTAGAAGAGGTTCCACCAGTGGACCTGGAAAGCAGGCCACACCTACAGAAGAGNCTTCCTTCCTCTGTAACCTTTTTCCTTCCTTCCTTCCTTCCTTCCTTCCTTCCTTCCTTCCTTCCTTCCTTCCTCTGTAATATCTTTCCTTCCACTGAAACTTCCTTCCTTCCTTCCTTCTGCTGTAACTTCCTTCCTTTCTCTGTAACCTCCTTCATTTCTTCCTTCTGCTGTAATCTTTTTCCTTCCTTCCTCTGTAACCTTTTTCCTTCCTTCCTTCCTTCCTTCCTTCCTTCCTTCCTTCCTTCCTTCCTTTCCTCTGTAATTTCCTTCCTTTCTCTGTAACCTCCTTCATTTCTTCCTTCTGCTGTAATCTTTTTCCTTCCTTCCTCTGTAACCTTCTTCCTTCCTTCCTTCCTTCCTTCCTTCCTTCCTTCCTTCCTTCCTTCCTTTCCTCTGTAATTTCCTTCCTTCCTCTGTAACCTCTTTTCTTTCTTTCTTTCTTTCCTTCCTTTCTTTCTTTCTTTCCTTCTTTTCTTTCTTTCTTCCTTCTGCTCTTTCTTCCTTCCTTCCTTCCTTTCTTCTGCTGTTCCTTCCTTCTTTCTACGGTAATTTCCTTCCTTCCTCTGTAACCTTCCTTTCTTCCTTCCTTCCTTCCTCTCTAACCTTCTTCCTTTCTTTCTTCTGCTGTAACTTCCTTCCTTCCTCTGTAACTTCCTTCCTTCTTTCCTCTCTAACCTTCCTTTCTTTCTTCTGCTGTAACTTCCTTCCCCAGTATACGATTAAAAGTGGACAAGATAAGACACCAGGCCAAGTAGCTGTTGGATCCTAGCCATTAGTGACATCTTCTCTATCTGCTGCTAGTTTGGCCCAATTTTAGCAAGAAAACTGGCTTATATTTCAGAGGTGCATATTCACCCTGGATTAAAATGACGTTCCTGGTGGGATTTTGTTCTGAGTTTTAAAAAAAAATACTTTATTTTTTGGGCCTTCCCTCCTGATCTTCCTTCTTTTCCTCTGCTTCAGACAATCCATCATCTGAAAAACCTGAGGAAGGGCCAGCGGAGATCTTCGGTGCTTATCACTCACGCGGAAGACCTACCCAACCAGCTGGGAGTCCATGAAGTGCAACGACACATCTCTCACCATGCTAACGCACTCTGCCATTTCCACATAGCTGCGAGCATTAACCCCAACACTGGTGAATCCTGTATTTGCATTTCTTGCCTATCCTATACAGTAGCAGTTTGTTAGTCTTCCTCTACGCTGTAGGTACACTAAGCAGAAGAACTTAGCTTTCTCTATGGCATAAGATCAACCTCGGTGGTGCTTTGTAATGGGCTTTTAAATTTAGCACTAGCAAAAGCTCTTTGACTTGTATAGAGTGGTGCGGTGGCCTAGAGGTAGAGCTCTCACCTCACAATCCAGAGGCTGTGAGTTCGATCCTAGGTAGAGGCAGATATTTTCTCTCTCTGGGCACAATGAGAATAGATCTGCTGAAGAAAACTCCGCACTGGCGACAATAAGGGCATCCGGCCAGTAAACACTCAGTTCCATTCAGTTGTCCAGACTCCGCTCTGCAAGGGGTTATGGGGTCATTAAAAGAGGATGATGAATAGCGCTTAGATTTATAGTTATGTCTATATACATATACATGTATGTTCTGACCCCCCTCGTTCCACACCAAAGCACTCCAAGCCAAAGATCCTTTACTGAATTTATTAATAGACAGACAGGTCCTTGGCAGCAAACTGGCACAGATAAGCCTTGGCAGCAA